TTTCACTTAACTTCTCGAGTAGATTTTTTTGCTTGTGAAAATCAGTTTTTCTGAATTTTCTCCAAAAATAAGCATTTTGGGCTTTTATGATCTTCATAGTACTAATATAAACATGTGCATTGCGGTCATTTTAAACTCAAATTTGAGTCTCTAAGACCTTCAGAAGCTGAGATACATATTTCCCATATGCCACCTGATATGAAAAATGGGCGTGGCTCCACAGGGTTGAAACTACTTAAAGAAATTGCTTACTTCATCAATTCTGATTCAAAATGACCTAACTGAGGACCCTGTGTTTAGAAATCTTGTAGACACTGAACTGCTTACTCGATTTTCACTAAATTTCTAGAGTAGATTTTTTTACTCATGCTCAAGTGAAAATCGGTTTTTCTGAATTTTTTCCAAAAATAAGCATTTTGGGCTTTCATGACCTTTATAGTACTAATATAAACATGTGTATTGCGGTCATTTTAAACTCACGTTTGAGTCTCTAAGACCTTCGGAAGCTGAGAAACATATTTCCCATATACGCACCTGATATGAAATATGGGCGTGGCTCCACAGGGTTGGGGCTAGCGACACAAAATTCCCCCCTCGGTGATTTGAGTTACCAATGACCTATTTAACCCGATTCAGTAGCAAAAACCTCTATACATCGAAGTGCACACTCAACACCTCCCTGCTACTGGAGTATATAGGGGGTAAATAGTATTGTGAATATAAGGGCGACGGTAATGCTTGCCAGCTTTGTGATTCTCACAGTTTCTAGAAAACAATGGTACAAAAAATTTTAAAATCCGAGCAAGTTTATTTTTATGGTGCACCCCCTAATATAATCCACATCACCTCGACCCGCGGGCGGAAAAATCGTATAGCACTCGGGCCCGATGGGCCCTCCGTGCTATACGAATATATGTCTTCCTCGGGCTAGCGCCCTCGGGGACATATGAAATATTGCATGCGCACGCGCGTGCAATATTTTGTGCCGCCCGCGAGTCTCCGGTGATATGTATATACATGCATCATATACATTAAAACACAGTTGCGACACGCATTCATAGATCACAGGCGATCTATTGTCATACGTTGTATGACACCCGCCGCGCACGAAGTGCGCGGCTCCCCCTGTATCGTCAGGACGACAAATTACTTGACACCCACCATAGTGAAACGACCGTGGGGGTCGCAACGTGATACAAGCTATCTATACATCACATCTCCGCACGCAATCCTCGCGCGCGCGACTTTTTCGTTGCATGGTAACGGAAGAAATGACATCATAATCATATACTGCAGACCCGCCTAACGCGATCTCCAAAATTAACGTTTTTCTGCCGAAACCTCCATTCGTAACCTTTCACTATTGCCTTTTTTCAAAAGGGTGAAAAGGAAAAAATTACCGAGAATATTAAGTTGCATTTTAGTGGTTTCCTAGTCGAGTGAGTGTGATGTGAGTGTAAGTGGTAAGATAAAATATATAAGCATTGGTCTTTTATTTATTAAAGGGCTCGTCTGTTAAGTTAGTTGTCTCATCTCTCACTTTTCCTTGCAAAGAGAAACTTTTAGGAGAAACCGATCCAAACATTATACTTATAGTTGCATGTGACACTGTATCACTTTCTATATTAATATAGAAGCCGCATGAGAGTGCAGTATAAGTGATTATAAATACCAAGCTCGTTGGACCAGGTGAGCTCCCATGCTTGTGAAACTAAATGCGAATTTGCGTGTGATGTGAGTGTAAGATAAAAGATATAAGCATTGGTCTCTTACTTATTAAAGTGCTCGTCTGTTAAGCTAGTTGTCTCATCTCTCACTTTTCCTTGCAAAGAGAAACTTTTAGGAGAAACCGATCCAAACATTATACTTATAGTTGCATGTGACACTGTATCACTTTCTATATTAATATAGAAGCCGCATGAGAGTGCAGTAGTGATTATATATAATAAGCTCCCAAGGCTATTTATTACTTACTCTTTTGGTTCTCCGGTCCATTTGACAACACTTTTTGGGCACTCAAATTCGTATTCCTTGGCCAATTTTTAAATTTTTCATGCTGATTTGAAGGCCATTAAAGCATTTGAACCAGTCGAAAAATTTTAAGTTGTATATCTTTTACGGTTTTTGTGGGAAGTCGTGTTAAAGTTGATGCCGTGGTGTTAGTAAAATGGTACCCTTATAAAAGCTCAGATTTATTTTCTGACAGAAAGCTAGAAATAATCCAAAATATCAAAATTGTTCTACACTCATTTTAATGACAGTTCATGACCTTAAATTGCACGAGAAATTTATTAAACTCGGATTCAGAGTTCCTTATGCCTTAAACTTCAGGTTTTACCAATGTGGCCCAGGTTATCTCGTGTCAAATGACTGAAAAAAGAACACCAACAAAAACCTGCCTCCATTTATAACTGACTAGAAACCCGCTAGTCGAAAGCTTTGTTCGAGGAAATTAAAAAAATTATTTATGTTTAAATTTATCTAGTCTCTTCACATCACCATTTAGCTCAAAGCTCTTTACTGTAGAAAGTATGGATTTTATTTGACAATGACGAAAACTTTGTAAGTATTCGGTCATCAAAATGAGTTTATAACAAGGTCGATATTTTGGTAAATTTTTTTTCTGTCATAAATTGAATTTGGGTTTCTATAGGGGGTAATAGAGATATACTACAGTACAGTACTTACATTCACATTCACAACCACGGGAGCTCACCTGGTCCAATGAGCGCGAAACGGAGAACAAGCTCTGGATACGTCACAGTCACGTGACCTCAGGCTCACAATCACGTGACCTCAGACCCAATCAACTGACTTCTGGCCTGGTCAGCCACTGGGAGACTTTGGGTCAGAAAACTGATCCGGCCCCCAAGAGGGGTCAGATCACGTCACTAATTAATGACGTATAATTAGTGATGTGATCCATAGATTGAATATAATTAACACAGAAATGGACTAGATCTGGGGTAGAGTTCACATGTCAATTCTGTAAATCATAGCTGTACATTAAGAAGTAAACATGATCTAACTGCTCGACTCGTAGATCACATAAGGGACGGGAGCTCTTGCTAAAGGAGGGTTCTCGTATCAAGGGATGTGAGACGTACTTGCCAAAGGCATGTAAGGAGAGTGAGCCGATCAAGTGTTCTTAGGTATATATACTGGAAGATAGTAGTATCGCAGGTAGTAGTATCGCATTCTATCAAAAGTCATGCCTACCTTTTCTACACGACATACCCAACAAAGATTGAGTACTTGTTCGCTGTTGCGAAATACTTTGGTAATAATATTGAGTAATTTGTTGTATTCTGAAGTATTATATATACCAACCAATACATTGTCTCAATTTAAAACATCCATGGATCACATCACTAATTATACGCCACAAGCTTCAAGCTTGCACGTTAATTAATTGATGACGTATATTGTGGTCATATCACTTCTGACCCAAGGTCTGGCAGTCAGCTCCCTGTAATTACATGATCTTGAGGTGACGTACGACACCTCGCTGCAAATTTTCACATGCCAAAAACGTAAGATTCTTAAGGAGTTGTGCGAGATGACGATACATAGAGGCCGCAGAATCATGAGGACTACCAGATCCTCATGGTTGAACCTAAGCGATCCATGATATCACGACAAGCCCTACTATACGGCTACAGTAAACAATGATCATTATACTTTCTGCACCAGCAATACACAATATCCAACTCAAAACAGGTATCTATTGTAATTCGTGTTATGATGATAAAATTACACGTCAGTGTTGAAGGGTTGGGCGGGGTCAATCATGAGGCAAAATGGTTTTCGTGCATAGCCAGGCCTTGAAGGCCAAAAAGTTAGAAGGTGTGTTTTAATTGTTTTATCAACAAACATTTCTGGCCACAGTTCATACTTTCATAGAGCAATACTGTTTTAGATTATGTTAACAATTTCTTAACCGTTGTATCCACAATCTGAATTATCATATCGATACCATTACCACCTTTCTTTCATACTCATGGAATCAATATAACGATCGCAATACAGATATCAAGGAGCTATGATGATGATGATGAAGATTGTGGCAGTATTTCTACTCGTGGCTGGATTCAATGGTAAGCAAAATGGTGGTTTATTTTAATCTGATTTAATTTGCGAATACCGAATTTCTATCGATTTATTACTAATACATGATATCGACATTACATTGGTATTTTTACACCAAACATTCAAAAAAAATACCCAATTACAATGTAACCCAATTTAGTGTATCGTTTTGATAGGGAATAGGATTGTTCTGGATGTATTTAATGTGAAACTGGAGTTTATGAGAAATTCAGATAACCCATTGAGCCCCACTATAACAGGTGGGAGATGCACTTATTTAATCATTAATTAATCTTTAATTAACGCGTATTTAATATTACAACTTTTCAGCTCAATCACAAACACCACCATGTGTTAATAAATTTGACACTATGAATGGTTTTGAAAACATGTGTAATATACATACTACACTTGGGCAAGGAAACTGCCTAGGAGCAAAAGAAGAAACACTTAGAGAAAATTGCGCTAAAGCTTGCGGTTTCTGCTATTAGCTAACTGGGTGCTAAGTGCAGATACCTCTAATGATGACGTGATCACGTTATACTTGCTCTAACATGCAGTAGCGCGGGACCGCAGTACGCGTAGACACATGTGTGATCACGTGATACCTGATGGGTGGAGGTTACGAGGACAATTATTCATTGTTATCTTAATCAATGGGCACAATAAGTTGATTTCTGTAATCATAGCTTACAATCTTATAATGTGTTTAAAACGATTCCGTATTACTATACTATTCTTCTAAACTGTAACAATTTTCCTGTATTTGATGCTTTTAGCATTTGAATTTAAGTATCTGTCTTATTTGTAAAAATTAAACATAATGTTATCACAGATACAGCAATCAATCCGCTAGTTGATTATTTTTATTAACAGTAGATAAAAAAATGGTCTGCTCTAAAGTAAAGTATAAAAAACACATTAGTTTGTCGAAGTCCCACCGAGTATAGCATTTTGCATAATAATAACAAGCAAACGACAAGCAAACAACAAGCAAACAACAAGCAAACAACAAGCAAACAACAAGCAAACAACAAGCAAACAACAAGCAAACAACAAACAACAAGCAAACAACAAGCAACCAACAAGCAAACAACAAGCAAACAACAAGCAAACAAACAACAAACAACAGACAAACAAGAAGCAAACAACAAACAAACAACAAGCAAACGACAAGCAAACAACAAGCTAACAACAAGCAAACAACAAGCAAACAACAAACAAACAACAATTTAGTGGTACTGAACAGAGGGATTTTACTAGTTTGTGATTGCTATTGGCAGGCTAGACACATCATTGGATAATACGAGTATGCATGATCACTGATACTTGTTAATTTGTTACACATGCTGCTGCAGACGTCTCACAATCCAGGGACTTTATATCGCAAGACATGAGACGGTAACTTGTTAAGAAGTTCATTCTCCATCAACAGTTCTGCTTGAATTGACACGTTACCTCTTCGTGATATATATTCATATGACTGTCGAGAAGTGCTCTGATAAGAGAAAAGTGCATAAAATATTGCAGCCATGCGACCTGCTCTAATGATCCCCAATCCAGTTGCCGAAATTTTGGATTCTGAGGTTGCAGGGGAATATCAGAATTGAACATCCTGCTTTTGTAAAAAAGCCAAGGGAGAAGCAGACTATTAGCAGGGTGATAACACCACCCAGCAAGGGAGAAGCAGACTATTAGCAGGGTGATAACACCACCCAGCAAGGGAGAAGCAGACTATAATTAGCAGGGTGATAACACCACCCAGCAAGGGAGAAGCAGATCACTATTAGCAGGGTGATAACACCACCCAGCAAGGGAGAAGCAGACTATTAGCAGGGTGATAACACCACCCAGCAAATTTGGGTACGACAGCCCCCATTTCAAGGCGAATAGCCATTATTAACCATACATAGCTCTATTTGCTGGTTGTGTCCTGCTCGGAAAGTGAACTAAAAGCCCACCCCATTAAGTGAGAAGAGGGCCATATCCAAGAAGCCCGACCCAGTGTGCGGACTATAGTTAGGTGGTGCGCGTTAAAATTAAACTTGCTCGGATCTCAAAAATGTTTACACCATCTTTTTAGTGAGATTGTGACAAATTTTTCAGTACGAAATTTGCAATATATATTTTAAAATAATTAGTGGACATAATTTAGGTCTCACATTTTATAGCGCGCGGCTTTAGGAAGCAATATTTAAACCGACCGATTGAAAAAATTTTATGAGACGCAAATCAAGCGCTATCATATCAGACGTTTAAAATTTGTTTCATAAAATTCCTTTTACTTCGACGTTTAACTATTATTTGTAAGGTCTTAGCCTAGTTCCCAATTTTACCTGTGTTGCCTGATTTTTCTTTGTGATAATGAGCTGTAGTTCCCTCACCCTTACACTTTCATTGTGTGCCGAAGATGCTAAGTTCGTTGAAATGTACGAACTATTTAAAAATATTTTGCCTGATCTAGAACTTGTAGATTTTTTTCAGCCTAACTCCAAGCTAAGTTTATTGAAACCGTCAGAAGTTACATATCTGCACATGCATTCTTTATTGTCGATCCACTTCAGCAGAAAGGCTTGTTCGAATCGTAGAACTGGTGTTAAGTTCGGGGGATATTCAGGTTGTTCGAAAAAAAGTGAGCCTGGGATTTATTTCAGTCTTGTTCATGTCACCTCCATTTGCGAACTGATTACTGGCCAAGCTATTTTAGGAAAGGATGTTAAGTTGATTTGGGACCATCTACGTCAAAGCTTTCAATTATGTTTGTCTGAAGAATCCAGACGATTTATTGGTGACACTCCATTTGATTTGAAAGCCATAGTCTCTAATCCAGTTCCAATCCGGCCAGGGCAAAATGTTCATCGTATTATTCTTAGAACTAGGGTTGTGAAAAAACGATCTCTGTCCCCAGGTATTCAATGTATCAGCCCCCCTAAGGTAGCTAAACTTACTCAACCTCTTTGTATTGGTAACTCAGCTCTGACTGTGAGGCCTTATAAAAACTATACTCTGGCACATAGGTCTACTGTAATTAGACAAAACTCTCGTATTAAGTCTCTGCAACTTCAAAATCGTCTACTGCTAATTAAATATACACAAAAAGAGAACGAAAATTTGGTTTTGGCCAACGATTTAAAGAATTTGCAAGCAGGTCATTTTGAATTGCAGGAAAAATTTCAAGAACATGTAGTCATGCAAAATACTGTTGTTAAAGATAACAAGAATCTAACTGGGAAATTGAAATCTTTCAATGAAAATATTGACTATCTTACGAACAAATTGTTGTCATTAGAAGATATTCAGAATGATTTAGAAGTAATCGAGGATCAAATTGAGGACCCAAACTTCGACTCAGTTAAATTAGAAAAACAAATGAGAATTTTGATCAACATCAGTTTACTCAAATTGAAGTCCGACATTTCATCAAAAATATCAACCCAGCTATTCATTTGGGTATTATACTACTCCGTCAAATAGGACGTGTATCTTTGGAAAACACCATGCCTTTGTTCCTTGCATTAGCCAACTCGGTTTTTGGTCAAATAATATTTCATGTTGTATGAACATTTAGATATTAGAAATGTAAAATGTGATATTTGAACTGTGAAATTTGAAATGTGAATATCGTTATGAAGAATGTATTGAATTAAGTTTGTTTCCTCAAGGGAAAAGGTCAAATGAAGACCTGGTTTCTACTGGATAACCCAGAATCCGAGAAACTGCGAACACAGCCAGTATTTTCTCAACAAACTTCCGCTATACTTGAGAATGGCGTAGTAGTCCCCAGTCCCAGTCCTAACAATATAGCTAGGACTGGTCGGCCTAATTCGGGACGTCCCAATAGAGAGAGAGAGCCGTAGAGCCCGCCGCCCCCTTACCACTCACGACTTTGCGGATGAAAATTACAGGAAATCAACCTCGAAACTTCTCAAAATTTTGTAGCGTGAGTATTGCGGATGAAAATTACAGGAAATCAACCTCGAAACTTCTCAAAATTTTGTAGCGTGAGTATTGGAGCATGACATGAAATGGATATATGTTCGATTCGAGCCTGGGTGATTATTATGATCCGATGTTTGGTGGAACAAGATTACAAACGTGACTTGATGAGCGTGAGCACAATGATTCTACGAGGGATTTGCAGCCAGCAGCAGCACATGATGGTCTTGTGGTTTCAGAAATTATAATTATAAATTAATGATTGTTATGTTCAATGGGATTCTGTATGATATTGATTCAGTTTCTTCCGATTTCTTTTTACAGCCCAATTTTGGTGTTTATTTTTGATTTTTCCAGTAAAGGGTTCTGGTTCATTGGAATAGACAGATTGTAACCTCGAACAACCGATCATTATTAATTAGAGGAACGGACAAAGCATTTAATGCCATAACATTACCCTAATCCTTTCCATAATTCTAACCTTTACTCTATACTAACTGTGGTAATGTCGTGGAGAAGTAACAACTCGTTTTAATCCATAGAAAGGCTATAAAAGGAATATGAATGAGTTAGTAAACAATGTCTAATAACCATATACATATTAATCAATTCAGAATATAATATCATGGTAAAATTTTGCACGAAATTTTAAAAACAATAGTCCAAGCTGTTCAGTGCAAGTCTAAACTTTTTAACCTATAGGATCGATATAATGGAAGTGTAATATCATGTGTAGCGTGAAGCGTCGTGTTTTTAAATCTGTAGTTCATAGTACTTCATGATCACAGTGTACTTTTGATAACAGTGTGCAGTGCCCTTTCCAGAGGGGTTTTTTTTTTAAAGAATTCTTTAACATTACTATTTTCTATCTATTACTGTTTGTATTATAATTTTGAGTAAACATTAATCAAGTAAACCGCTCGATTCCCAATCAGTGATTTAGCACGCTCGAGAAACTAAAGTAAAAACTAATATCTGTAAGAAAAAGCTCACGCTGGTGGATATAATCCACATCACCTCGACCCGCGGGCGGAAAAATCGTATAGCACTCGGGCCCGATGGGCCCTCCGTGCTATACGAAAATATGTCTTCCTCGGGCTAGTATAGCGCCCTCGGGGACATATGAAATATTGCATGCGCACGCGCGTGCAATATTTTGTGCCGCCCGCGAGTCTCCGGTGATATGTATATACATGCATCATATACATTAAAACACAGTCGCACCACGCATTCATAGATCACAGGCGATCTATTGTCGTACGTTGTATGACCCGCCGCGCACGAAGTGCGCCGCTCCCCCTGTATCGTCAGGACGACAAATTACTTGACACCCACCATAGTGAAACGACCGTGGGGGTCGCAACGTGATACAAGCTATCTATACATCACATCTCCGCACGCAATCCTCGCGCGCGCGACTTTTTCATTTTTCGTTGCATGGTAACGGAAGAAATGACATCATAATGATATACAGACCCGCCTAACGCGATCTCCAAAATTAACGTTTTTCTGCCGAAACCTCTATTCGTAACCTTTCACTATTGCCTTTTTTCAAAAGGGTGAAAAGGAAAAAATTACCGAGAATATTAAGTTGCATTTTAGTGGTTTCCTAGTCGAGTGAGTGTGATGTGAGTGTAAGATAAAATATATAAGCATTGGTCTATTATTTATTAAAGGGCTCGTCTGTTAAATTAGTTGTCTCATCTCTCACTTTTCCTTGCAAAGAGAAACTTTTAGGAGAAACCGATCCAAACATTATACTTATAGTTGCATGTGACACTGTATCACTTTCTATATTAATATAGAACTAGAAGCCGCATGAGAGTGCAGTATAAGTGATTATAAATACCAAGCTC